CACCGGACTTTTCCCTACCTTGAATTGGAAGTTTTGGGTGTCTTTATTTTTACCAAAGTATCCAACCTCGGTCTGTTAGGCCGGGCTATTTGATTCCATTTGAACAGGTCAGCCACTTGCAGTTTGCCTCCAACAACCATATATTACTATATATATTACTGAGTGATTTAAATTTAAGGAGAAAAATTACCATTTTTGTGCATTTGGACTAAATTTTAAAATAGAGGTATTATTAGTTTTTCTAAACTACATTTTTTAAAACAAAATCGTTATCATGAGGTTAGTTGTTAAAATATACTATAGTTTTCAAAGTATTTATATTAAAAATTTTTAATTAATTTCAATGAAAATATAGCATTACATGAAATTTTGAACGTTGTACCTCTAAACAAAAGTTTTATCCATGTGTTAACCACTCAAAACTTCAAGTGAAAAATTTATTAATTATAAATTAATCAATAATTTGGAACAATCTCGAACCATTAATTTTGAAGACTACTTCCAATTATTTGTTGACTTTTGGAGTTATCGTGGGAATGTTCATGATATTCTTTGCACTAAATTTTTTTTTCTTTTTAATTATTGTTTGGACTAAACTTGGATTAGTATAATGGATTTTATATGATTATTAATTAACCAAATGGTAGCCTTAAAATTAAATTATTTTTAATAAAAAAGATAACTTGTTTCAAGTATTTTTGTGGGGGACCAGACTAAGTCTTGTTATGAAATTATTGTTAAATCAATTTGTTTTACTTAATTTTAGAACAACTTTCAACAATTACAATTATTGTTTAATAAAGTTAATGTTATTTTAATACTATTGAAATCGATATTTACAACCTACTAGAATGTCTAGGAAGAATATGTCTACTAGCTTCTGTTTGGTTCGTCCTAAACCACATCGTATTGGGAGAGGTTTCACTTTAATACCAATTGTAATTAGGATCGGCTTAAGCTTTAAGGCCCTCATTTCAGAAGTGCTATTTTCATATAATATATAATATATATACTATAATTTTGTTATCTATTTATTTTTAGTTTTTAATTATAAATAAAAATAAAAATATAAAATAGTATATTTTTCCTAAAATTTTCTTATAATATTGAAAATAAAAACTAACGATCTATATAATTTTTTTGAAAATAAAAAATTCAAAATCATAAATTTCTCTCCATTTTTATCGGCAACCATTTCAATTTTTGTAATCATTGCTTCTCAATTTGTTTCTTAAAAATCTCAACTACATTAAAACTTTCAAAGTTTACGTTGGGACTTTCTATATTTC